TTATTAAAAACATCCAATTTATATATGTTCTAAATGGTACTTATATTAATATATTTTGAATTTTAGTTATTTATTGATGAGTTTGGAATATTGATAAAATGTACATTCTATATTGTAAAAATTAGCCACTAGTATTCTTTTAATTAAATTATTTTAAGTTCATTTGTATTATATTGTAGTTGCATTATTATTGTAATTATGAACATTCAATATTGTAAACATGAACTTAATTAAATTATTTTAAGTTCATTTGTATTATATTGTAGTTGCATTATTATTGTAAATATGAACATTCCATATTGTAAACATGAACTATTAAATAGGGGCATGCCATCATTGCAGTAGTTGTATGTCTTTGTACCATCTCCAATCATGTGTACCAAATTCTATACCAAATTCTACACCAAAGTGAAAATTCTCAATATATTCTTACACTAAATTTTTTTCATTTCCAACTATTACACTAAATTTTTTCATCTCCAACTATTACACCAAATTTTACACCAAATTTTATTTCTTTACTAAAATAATTTGTTTTCTCATAAAGTAAGACTTTGTATTATAACTTTAAATATTTTTATATAAAATATAATTATAATGCAAATATTATTTTATTCCACAATATTAAATCATAGAACATCCATTACATTTAATTTTGAGAATTACTTTAAGTATGTTTAAAGTAAGGGATGTGAGTTACTCCTAAAAACATAAGATCTTCAAAACACATGCCTTTCACATACTGTATTTAAATAGCGTTCTGGGAACATACATGGTTCCATTGTTTTCCCGTAGTTACTTGAGTTAGAAACTTGGTTTCTCCCTCCAGACCTTTAACATTCACTTAATCTAATTCTCCGATGGGGAGAGTTTTAGTTTTTTAGAGAGGTTGGGGAGAGGACCAGAGTCTCATATATGAAATATAAATAATACGTTCCATCAACGTAAACCTGATGATATGCAGTTGAAACTGCAATCTTATCTTCTTAACTGGCCAATCACAAGATTATCTTCATTATTAAATTATAAATAAATATTTAATTATGAGCCACAATAAATTATAATGAACCATAGAATAATAATTATTATTATTCTAACATTCTCCCACTTGGCTCATAAGTCATAAATTTAATAATGAACTTGAAACATAATATGCATAGTATAAGTTAATTCCTTCGTTATATTGGTCAGAACATAAGTCATCGTTAAGTTAGAAATTAATAAGAATCATGGTGGTAATGCGTCACTAATTTAACGCAGTCCATTCCATGTATCACAATATTAATTTCAAACTCAATATGATTCATAATGAACTTTTTCATAATGGTCCACGATAATGTCTTTATCAAAGACAAATCCTGTTTATATTAACATAATAAAACATTCATGTATATATGCTTTATAAACTAAACAGGATACTTTAATACAGAAACAAAACTATATTGAGCTCTAAGTATCAAATATTTCAAAACACAACCTTAACATAATGTTAACAGTTTCCAATAACGCCCATTCTTTCAACATGCTCACGAAATGCCTTCGGTGGCAATGCTTTAGTTAATGGGTCTGCAATCATTAATCTAGTGCTTATGTGTTCAATTGATACCCTTCGTTCCCGAACATCTTCTTTAACGGCAAGATACTTCAGATCAATATGTTTAACACCACTAGTATACTTGTCGTTTTTAGAAAAGAAGACTGCTGCGGCATTATCACAATAAATTTTCAGCGGCTTGGCAATACTGTCGACAATTCCAAGTCCCGAAATAAAATTTCGCAGCCATAATCCATGATTTGTGGCCATAAAACATGCCACAAACTCAGCTTCCATAGTGGATGCAGCAATGACAGTCTGCTTCGCACTTTTCCAAGAAATAGCTCCCTCGGCTAAAAGGAATAGATAACCAAATGTGGACTTCCTTGTGTCCAAACACCCGGCAAAATCTGAATCTGTGTATCCTATCACCTCAAGGTGATCAGATCGCTTATAAGTGAGCATGTGCTCCTTTGTACCTTGCAAGTACCTTAATACCTTCTTTGCAGCCTTCCAGTGATCCATACCAAGATTACTTTGATAACGACCAAGCATCCCAACAGCAAAGCTAATGTCTGGTCGGGTACATGTTTGAGCATACATCAAACTCCCAACGACAGATGCATAAGGAATATTTTCCATTTCTTTACGCTCCAATTCATTCTTAGGGCATTGCATAAGGCTGAACTTATCTCCCTTCTGAATTGGAGCAACTGATGCAGAGCATTTTTCCATTCTAAATCTTTCTAAGACTTTGTTAATATATGTTCTCTGAGACAATCCTAACACTCCTTGTGATCTATTACGAAATATTTCAATTCCAATCACAAAGGATGCATCACCCATATCTTTCATTTCAAAGTGCTTAGAAAGAAATTGCTTGGTCTCATGCATTAAACCAAGATCATTAGTAGCAAGCAAAATGTCATCGACATACAGAATCAAAAATATAAACTTGCTCCCACAGACCTTCATATATATACACTGATCAACGGTGTTTTCCTTAAATCCAAAGGTCGTTATAGTATCATTAAACTTAAGATACCATTGTCGGGAAGCTTGTCTAAGGCTATATATCGATCTGTTAAGTTTACACACCATGTGTTCCTTTCCTTCAATTGAAAACCCCTCAGGTTGGTTCATGTAAATTTCTTCTTCCAAATTTCCATTAAGAAAAGCGGTTTTCACATCCATCTGTTGTAGCTCCAAGTCATAATGAGCTACTAATGCCATAATTATTCTAAATGAATCTTTCTTCGAAACAGGTGAAAATGTTTCATTAAAATCAATACCATCCTTTTGAGTAAAACCTTTGGCAACATGTCTGGCCTTGTATCGTTCGACATTGCCATTTGAGTCGTGTTTGGTCTTAAAAACCCATTTACAGCCAACTGGCTTACAACCTTTAGGAAATTCAACAAGATCCCATACTTCATTATGTTCCATTGATTTTAACTCATCTTTCATGACTTCGACCCATTTAGAAGAATTATGACTATTTATAGCATGTGAAAATGAAACTGGATCTTCATCAATACCAATGTCAAAATATGATTCTTGAAGATAAACCACATAATCATAGATATAACAGATCTCCTTTGTCTTTGAGATCTTCTTAATGCTACGTTTGTAGGAATATCATTTATGGGTTCATTGTTAACTTCATCATGGAGTGGTTGATTATTTATCTCTTGATCATTAATTTGTTGTTCAGGCAAGTGACTAAATTGTTCAACCGTTGCAGGATGAGCAATATTAGTAACTCTAGGTAGAGTAATTTTTCGCACAGGAACAACAATTTGAGAAGAAGATATCAGAGAATCTTGCACTGTAACTTCTTTAAGTTCCACTTTTCGTGGTTCAACGCTCTCACTTAGGTTAACATTCTCAATGAACTTGGCATTTCCAGTCTCAACAATTCTAGTAGTATGGCTAGGACAGTAGAATCTATACCCTTTAGATTTATCTGGATAACCAATGAAAAACCCACTAGTTGTTCTTGAGTCCAGTTTCTTTTCATGTGGATTATAAATGCGTATCTCCGCTGGGCATCCCCAAACATGAAGGTGCCTTAAACCAGGTTTCCTTCCTGTCCACAGTTTAAATGGTGTTTTTGAAACTGCCTTACTAGGAACCCTGTTTAATAAATAGGCAGCGGTTTTTAAAGCATATGTCCACAATGATAAGGGTAAAGAAGAATAACTCAGCATACTCCTAACCATTTCCATCAATGTACGATTACGCCTTTCTGCAACGCCATTTTGTTGTGGCGTACCGGGCATTGTGTATTGAGCACAAATGCCACGTTTTTCAAGAAACTTAGCAAATGGACCTGGGCATTGTCCATTTTCAGTATACCTTCCATAATATTCACCACCCCTATCGGATCTTATAATTTTCACCTTTTTGTCCAATTGTCTTTCAACCTCATCCACAAATACCTCTAATGCATTTATTGATTGAGACTTTTCATGCAACAAATAGACATAACCATAACGTGAAAAATCATCAATAAATGTGATGAAATATTTTTCCTTTCCGAAGGTTGGGACATCAAAAGGTCCACATATATCAGTGTGTATAATTTCAAGGAGCTGTGTGCTTCTTGTGGCTGCATTCTTATTTGTGTGGTTTGAATGTTTTCCTTTAATACAGTCCACACAAATACCTAGATCAGTAAAATCTAATTCGGGAAGGATTTCATTCTTTACAAGTCTTTGAATCCTTTCCTTAGATATGTGACCCAAACGTTTATGCCACAAGTAAGCTGATCTTTCATCCACTAAACTTCGTTTAGTTCCAATACAATGATCCAGGGTTAATAGAGTTTCAGCAAAAAGATTGTCAAGCTTTAGTTTGTACAAGCCATCGGAAAGAATACCAGAACCAATAAAATGATTTTGTTTGAATAAACTAAAACATCCATTTCCAAATTTAAAGGAAAAATCATAATAATCCAGTTTTTACAAAGAAATTAAATTCCTAGAAACTGAAGGAACATAAAGAGTTTCAAACAAATCCAAATGATTTCCAGTATCTAAAATTAAACGGTAAGTTCCAATGGCTTCTACTGGAGCTTTGACACGATTCCCCATGAACACAAATTTTTCATTTGGCTTTATGGTTTGGGTCATAAGGAATCCCTGCATAGTATTCGAAACATGAGTAGTGGAATCAAAATCTATCCACCAAGTATTATAGGGAACTTCAGTTAAATTTGATTCGAAACATACTGATATATAATGTATACCTTTCTTTTCGAACCATGCCTGGCCTTACGCTTAAGGCAATCTTTCTGAAAATGCCCAGATTTCTTACAGAAATGACACTTGTCATTCTTATGTTCCCTTTTGTGGATTTGAGAAGAGGACTCATTAGTCTTCATTGGTCCTTTCTTACCCTTTTGATTATTCTTTCCAAACTTTTTACCAGCCCTTGACTGACCCATGAGATTAATTGAGTGGATTCATTGTCTCTTAAGCCTCGTTTCCTCTCGAGTTAGCATTTCATGCAATTCGAACACATTCCACTTATCTTTAATGGAATTGTAATTCACTTGGAATGTCTCATACTCAAGAGGCAAAGAGTTTAAAATAAATTGTACAAGGAAAGTGGCATTCACGTCCATTCCCATGGACTTTAATTTTGCTGCTAAGCTCAACATCTCAGTGACATGATCATGCATGGAACACGAACCATCAAATTTCATGTTGGCTAGTTTACTCATAAGAGTGCCTGCTTGGGCCTTATCAGCACATTCAGAATGTGAATTTTCCTCCACATGTTTCAACATATCCTTAGCACTGTTAAATTTGGGAATTGTGGACTTAATGTTGTTTCCAAGTGTCATTCGCATAAGCATTAAGCTGAGTTTATTCGATTTTTCCCATGCTTGATGGAAAGCAACATCATCATCACTGCTATTATCATTAATAGCAACGGGCTTGTCATTCAAGAGTGCTAGATCAAGATCCAAAACACCGAGGTGAAACTGGATTTGTTCATGCCACTCAGCAAAATTCAGCCCATTATACTTAACAATAGACGCAGCTTGCGAATGAATTGAAACACAACTAGATGCTGCAATGAATATAAAATACTCAAACATTAATTATATTTCAATACATAAACAGATAAACAGATTTAATCAACATAATCATAAACAATTAAGTACATTGAAGGTCTCCTTTAGGTGATCCAACAACATATAACTTTAAACATAATTCGATGCAAAAAAAAAAAAAAATCATATAATTGGCCATTAAACATATTATGACTAGACTTGTTTGCTATCTTTGGATATGCTAAACAACTCAATCAAATATAAATAATTAACCACTATTATGTTTATAATAATTATGAAATAATTGATCACCTTTGGACGACTCTTAAATATTTCAAAATTATTAAACTTCAATTTACCTAATACTATAGAAAATAAAAACATGTCATCTCATTATAAGCATCACATAATCATGGGTAATTGAAATTTATTTAAATTTGGAATCTATAAAATTTTATAATTTGGCCACTTTGGTGTCTAACAAATTAATCATAATTAGATACCAAATACAAATACTATAATAATAAAATAAATAAAACATGAAAAAAAATACAGAATTACATTTTAAAAGAAAAACATCATGTACGTAATCATCAGTCCATACGTAACTTCTTAATCCTTGAAGAAGAATTCAGTAAGGATTAATATTTTATACTGTAATCTATATATATAAAGAACCACTGCACTGAAAGGTGAATCAAACAAATTGCATTACTGTAATTCATATTTCAAATATGCAGCAATATTACGGAAGCGAAAAAATCACATCATGGATACTTCATTTAATTATGAAAGCATATGCACTAGGACAATAAAGTTTATACTGTAATCCATTATCCATAACATCCATATATACAATGTAGTACATTATATATATCAAACACAACAAATGCATGATATAGTGATATGCAGTACGCAAACTTATATATGCTTTTGATGTGAATATGCAGTATCCAAACTTACAAATGTTGTATGCAAACTTAAAATAAAGCATATAATCTATTTCATGTAGAATATATATATATATATATATATATATATATATATATATATATATATATATATATATATATATATATATATATATATCCTATCAAACAGAAACGTAGTAAGCCATCAAGATAATATATATATCCTATCAAACAGAAACGCAGTAAGCCATCAAGATAAAGCATATAATCTATTTCATAATATATGACTTTTAACGTTAACAGTATATACATACGCAATTAAACGAAGTGAATCACAGTTACAATATTCTTCATGCTTCAAGCCATCAAAAGTACGTACATACAACATTTCATCATAATATATGGAAAAACATATGTTCTACAACCAGGCTCATGATACCACATGTGAGTTAATCCTAAAAACATAAGATCTTCAGAACACATGTCTTTCACATACTGTATTTAAATAGCGTTCTGGGAACATACCTGGCTCCATTGTTTTTCCGTAGTTACTTGAGTTAGAAACTTGGTTTCTCCCTCCAGACCTTTAACATTCACTTAATCTAATTCTCTGATGGGGAGAGTTTTAGTTTTTTAGAGAGGTTGGGGAGAGGACCAGAGTCTCATATATGAAATATAAATAATACGTTCCATCAACGTAAACCTGAAGATATGCAGTTGAAACTGCAATCTTATCTTCTTAACTGGCCAATCACAAGATTATCTTCATTATTAAATTATAAATAAATATTTAATTATGAACCACAATAAATTATAATGAACCATAGAATAATAATAATAATTATTATTCTAACAAGGGAAAATTGTAATTTATGCCTCTCACAAATATGTCAATTATCAATGTTACCCTTGAATTATTAGTGGTGCAAATGTTGCCTCTCAATTTTCAAAACGTGACATATATTGCCCCTCCCCTGAATTATTAGTGATGTAAATGTGGTTATACGTTTCTTTCTTGTTCGAAGACCACGTTGTTTTCCTCAATTTTTCTTTCTTCAATTGTTCTCCTTCCGTCGACAACAAATTTTCTCCTTCTTCATATTAGGGGAGGGGCAATATATGTCACGTTTTGAAAATTGAGGGGCAACATTTACACCACTGATAATTCAGGGGTAACATTGATAATTGACATATTTGTGAGAGGCATAAATTACAATTTTCCCTTAAAGTAATTTTAGATGTAATTTGCTTTAATTTTGTTAAATTTATACTTTATGTACTTTCATTTTTAATTAATATATATTCAATATTAGTCTTGTTTTAATCGTTTTGATGAGATCTTTCAAATGATATAAATTTATTTTTAATAATTTAAAATTTATATTTAACAATTTAACAAAATATACAAATACATTAAAACTAAATCAAAAACACAAAAAGAATTAGAAATAAAAGCGAGCAAAATGGGAAGAAAAAATTCACACTAAAATGGTGTGAGACGAGTGCACTGCCATGGGCAATATAGCGCTGCACTGTTCATGCTGCACCAAAACATTAGTGTAGTGGCGCCCCGGTGCGAACCGGGGCACGCCATTTTTTTTTCTCCATTTTAGCGCAAGGACGTGCCCCTTGGAGATGCTCTTAGATCTCCTAAACCTAACCAACCTTACTAAATATGGAGTAACAAACACCTTAATATTATAACAACTTGTAATCCTAAAGTTATATTAGGAAAATCGTTACATCGTATGCAATCATCATATACTTAGAATTGGGAAAATAATAGGGAATACAGAACAGCCATTGAAGTTCTCAACACAACTAACTACTAAACAGAGTTTTAAAAAAAAAAAAAATAATAATAATAATAATAATAATAATAATAATAATTCTGAAATTGATGAAATGAAAGAGGCAATTATCTGTGCTTCACTACTCCAACTTGTAAACTGCTATACCAGACATTAAGACACTGCCCATCCACAGTTTGCCATCCTTCTCCTCCACCTCACTAATAGCCCTCACAACTTTCCCTGGTCTGTCTTCCAAAACTTGCAGAACCTTACCTTCTGGGCTATACTTCACCGCGATTGCATGAAGGTGACCCCCGATGTGCATCAGGTAATGCAGCTTTGCAGAAATCGGAAGCTTCAGCAAGAATTTCCGCAGTTTCAGGTACACACTGCATATGTAACTGTACAATGTTCGACGACAGTGGACTGCTACCCAGAATTCACCTCTTTTGTTAGTTCTAATGTTGTCGGGGTAACCTGGCAGAATCGCCATAACTTCTGTTGTCCCTGATTTCTCGCCTTTCAGCCAGTACTTGGATAATCTACAAAGGGATACACACTTCTGGTTTTAACACCATCCATAACAAGATCACGAGAGAGCAAGCAAGTTCAATCACATCTATATATATATATGTATATATATTCACATGCCATTCTGAGTTCAAGCATTCCATCTTTTCATTAGTTCTTTTTTATTTTTGCTTCAGAAAACAGATTACGGGGGTGTTTGGTAAATAGATGTTAGCTGATTGGGTTAGTGGGCTTGATTAGTTGATAACATTAGCTGATTGTAGAAAAGTGTTCCGGTAAATTAGCTGTTAGTTGATGATTACATACAAAATGACTTTCTAAAAAAGCTGATCGAAAACGCTGTTTTGAGCAGTTTTTTGAATTTTAGCATTTTGGAGCAATAAGCTGTTACAAAAAGCTAATTAATCAAACACTCATATTAATTGTTTAACCAAATCAAACAAGTAGTCAAATAAGCCAAAATTGACTGATAAGCTAATTATGTTACTAAACAGGGTCTATAGCAAATTCTCGACAATGCCATATATATGAACTATAACTGTAACCTTATACAGCTTTAGATTTTACCCCACAAAGCAATTTCTTTGGGTTGGAGGATCAGAACGCGAAAGAGGGGAATCAAAAGTTCTGCATATAGCCTTAGCATACACAAGATAGATCTACATAGATTAGGAGACATAACAATTGTAATGAGAACTTTACCACCCGTCGAGCATATAATACATAGAAATAATAAATATGCAATCTCAATATCAGGCTTAGGGTTTTAGTTGAAAATCCTTCAATTCTACCGTATATAAAGCTACAAAGTGAGAAATATAACGCACCTGCCCTTGGAACCTTCGCAATATACAAAGAAGGTCCCGTCCTTACTCAGAGACAGACCGTTTGGAAACTGGAGATTGCGCACTAGAACGGTGGTTTCTTTTGTTGCTTGGTTGTATTTGAGAACCCTCCCTGAATCTTCTGCCGAGAAAACCAGCTGCAAAAAATTCCTGAAGGCACATACGAAAGTTATGAATCTTGCAACCAGATAATAATGACGTTTAAGGTTACGCTTTGATCAAACCCCTTAATGCTGTGTGGACTTTAGGTAGAACCGTAAAGCCCTGAATTCGAATTAAAGATAGAAAACAAACAACACCAGGAGATATATGCAAACCGCTACCACTTAAAAAGAGAAGAATCCATAAATTACCTTCGGCGATATTTAGTACTGCTATCTGTAAAATAGACGTTCCCTTCATCGTCAACGTCCACATCATTCCCAAATGTAATAGGCACTCCTTCAGCCTCAGTTGATAGTGTTGTTGCTAGCCCACCTTCAGGTCCAACCTTCATCAACCCAAAATATGCATCTGCAATGTATAAGTCACCAGTTCTTCTGTCAAATCTCAAACCTAAAGGTCTGCCACAGATGTGCTCATCCTTTACATAGCTCACAGGGGTTGGGTTTGGTTTTGGGTCACACACACTAGACCTGAAACAAGACAACAATATAAACAGATCACAAACATTACATTAAACCCATCACCAAGAACTGTATATAGTAATGTTTTCAAGAATATTTGAACACTGCCCACATGGGTAGCTCAATTGGTTCCTTGTGACAGATTGTGGGCAAGGACACAAGATCGAACCACTGACAGCAGTGTGAGAGTTACACCCAATGTTGTGGATGTTGGATTGAATGACTAGAAGTTGTTAGTCAATCAAATTCGCTCAGAATAATGCTCAATACACCATATAAGGTTCTTAGTCGAGTATGGGACAAAACGACTAACGTTACTTTGCAGGTCTACCGTTTAAGAGGAAACACAATTGAGAGAACATCAACTATGGCTGGAGATCAATATCGCAAGTTTCTCGATTTTGTCATATCAACATTAAACTACATTCAGTGGATTCCTAGTGGGCACCTAGATACATTTGGTTGGAAGGACTTTGGCTGACCTGTTAGCGGAGGTATAGGCAAATTCGATCCATTTCTCGCCGTTCCACATCAAAACCCTGCCGTCGGCGACGCCGGTGTAGGGCCCCCGGCCTTGCGGGTCGAAGGCGATGCTCTCCGGGCCGTGAATTTGGCTGGGGAACTTAATTTCCGACTTCTGAAGAAGGTTCTGGGTGTCCTTCTCCAGCGGAAGCTCTGACCAAGCCGGCGTTTCCACCTCGTACACCTCGAAGTCCGGGAACTCCGAGAATGCGCCGTGCTTGAACGGGTCCAGAGCGCAGTATACTGCCACCAGTAGGAAAACTCCGGCCAACACTCCGGCGGGCTTCATCGCTTCAGTAATTTTAGTTTCTTAATCAATTACTCAAAGATTAACAACAACGAAATCAAAACACATAACTTTGCAGTTATATCAGTCCAAGAATAACCTTAGTTTCTTGATTACTTATAGTATTTGAGAGGTAAGAAGAGCGTTGGCTAACTACCCGGTAGCTACTACACAGCGACTTTTCAATTCTTGGCTTAGTAGATGTCATCAATCCGAGAGGAATACTTCTTAATTGCCTTCTTCACCGACAAGTTGGAAAATTTTTGCCCTTTTATAATCATGTTTAATAACTTTCACTAAACTATAGATACATCATACCTATTTCTATTCACTATAGAGTAGTTTTATAATTTTCCTTCTATAAATTAATAAAAATAAAGATTAATATACATAAACATTAGACTACGACACATCACATTTGGAGTGACGAGGAAAACCTGCAGCAACTCCCCGATAAACATGCACATCACATCGCATTTAATAACATTTAAATATATTATGTTCATAATATTTATTTTATATGATAATAAGTTCAAACGTTAATGTACATTGACATTAAATTGCAGGTCTATTATATATATTTTCATATAGTAGATTCATTATGTTCATAAAAATAAAATTTAATGTACATAAATATTACATGCACTACATGTGTATCATGGCTATAGTGTGAGATGAAGAGTGCAAATGATTGTTAACTATACTACCTTAAAATGATGTCATTTTGGATCAGGAACCGCCTTGCAAAATAGATCATGGGCACCGATATAACAATGGGAGCCAAGGTCAATACATTACAAAATAATAATAAGGGCATGTGCAATAGTTTAATTCATGTGAAAATCATGCACTCCTCATTAAACAATTAGGAACTAATCAGAACAGTTCATCTAGAAAAATATAAAAGATTTGAAGCAATTAGAACAAAAATGTAATACTCCTTCCGTCTCATTTTACCTGTCTTACTTTCCTTTTTGATTTGTCTCAAAATAGTGTCATCTTTCCAAAATTGAACATAGCTATCACTCTACATTTTCCAATTTACCCTTTTGACTTTTCAAATTTGTAGAGGCAAGTACAATTGTACTTTGTACTAATAGCACCTACTTTTGAGGGGCAAACTTGGAAAGTTAGTTTAGATATGTAATGTTGTATTAGAAATCGTGCAAAAAGTAACATAATCAATTAGGAACGGAGAGAGTATCATTTTTTGTAAATAATTCAAATTTTAAAGTGTAATTAATAACATTATAGAGCATAACCAAACATAATAGAACGCATCAATTGATAAAGAGAAAATGACACTTTTTCACCCTAAGTTATATACTTATAGCACTTTTCCACCCTCAATTATTTATGTAAGCACATTAGCCCCCTTAATTATTTTAAAAGTGGTGGTTTTCCCCCCTGATATATTAAATTGACATTTCTACCCTTAAAGTAAACATTTTATTTATTTTACTTCTCCAACAAATATTGTGTATATGTAGCAATGACCACGGTTCGGTTCGAACTGAACCGAACACTATACCAATCGAATTAAAAAATTTCGGTTATGATTCAGATCTAGAATCCAATATTTAGATTTCAATTTATTAAATTTATGAACCAAAAAATTGGATCATGAACCTTGAACCGGTGGTTCCGGATCCGGTTCGCGATTTTGAACCGTCTTTATTTTAAATTTTTATTTTAAAATAATCTAAATTCAACAATAAATGTATTTTATTTTTTCAGTTCGGAACATGAACCGGCCATTCCGATTTGCGATTTTAATAAACTCTAAATATCGCGTTTTGATTCTAAATTGTAATTGGAATATTTTGGATTTGTTTGGTTTGAACCAAATTATAGTAATAATTTGTTGGAGAAGAAAAATAAATGAAATAATTATTTTAAATATTTATTTTAAGGATAAATATGTCCATTTAACATTTTAGGGGGAAAAAGAGCCACTTAAATAATTCAGGAGGGAAAAGTCTTATAAGTATATAACTCAAGGGGAAAAAATGTCATTTTTCCATTGATAAATCTTGAAAACTACACTGGATTGAAAGAGTAAACTCAAAGGTAAACCACAAACACTAAACTACTAAAAAACAAAAGGTGAACCCCAAAACTAAATATATATAAAAAATTTAAAAAAAAATTAAAAACTAAACCAAAAAAGAAAAAAAAAAGTTAAATAAACTGTTAAATTTTATATGAAAAAGTAATTAACCTCATGAACTTTAACATTTTAAAATTAAACATATCAAATACATCAATTATTATTGTAAATATAATTCACATGTTAATATTTTTTCCCTCTTAATTGATATGGAATATTATACTGTATCTACACCCGAAGGGTGTTGTCCCCTTCTACTTGAATCTACACTTGTAGTGAATTTTATTTTATTTTCACTTTTAATCTTACATTTTTTAATATATTTTTTTAATTACCCCTAAAACTTTTGGAGTATTGCCCCATATAACTCAACTAGTAATTCATCCCGCGATGCACGGGAAAAAATTATGTTATTATAAATATAAATAAAAATAGAAAAACTAAAATATTTTAAATTTTTTAATATAATAATATTTTTGAGCTTTCATTGGTCAAGTATTTATTATTTTGTTAGAATACAAAATTACAATTAAAATTAAAATTAAAATTTTGTATGGTTAATATAATCTTTAATTATGTGCATATTCTAATAAACTTATAGAGAGAATTTACATAATTACATTGCTTAATTGTATTTCATCTATATTATAATTTTCACAATACGAATAATAACTAAGATAACTACATTTGGGAAATAAATTTCAAATTTTGTATAAGTAAATCTAAACTCTAATTGAACACATTTTGTATATGATTATATAATATATATAGCTATTTTATTTTTCAAAAGTACATTTTTTATATGATTATATAATATATAGCTATTTTATTTTTCAAATGTTTTTTTTTATATATTTAATAAAAGATGTTGTGTCATTAATTGTAATATTAATTACTTCCCAAACCATATAACTTTATTATAGTTATAAAATAACTAAATTGTAATTGAACTTATTGAATTTTGAATGCAACAGCATGTGTCGCGAGAGTCCCTTCTTCATGAAGTGTAATGTTAGTCCATATATATTTGTGCATTTTTTTGGTATTATTTTATTTGTGCCTTTTTACCATAAAATTCTACCTAATTTGTTTCATACTATGTTTGTGCCTTTTTATCATAAACAATGTTAATTCTATAGCAATAAGATTTATTTCGTATATATTTGTGCCTTTCAATTATTATGGTTATATATATATATATATATATATATATATATATATATATATATATAGTGGCGGAGTCAGAAAATGACGTGAGTGGGGGCGTACTTGAAATGATTTTAGAATTGTCAATGATAAAATATCAAACACCTATAATATGGTTTAAATACATTATAAATTATAATACAATATTTATGATAGATTACATGAGTTAAGGTCGGAGCCAAAACTATATTTGGGTAGGGTGAAATTTAAAAACACATTGAAATGTTATAAAAATATTTATGGCAAAATATAAAACATAATCGATTATATAAAATAGTTTGAATAGAAAAGACATTATATTCATAAATACTTTAATTTTAATTAGATTAACTTTTTTTTTAAATGCTACTAGCTCTATTACATTGTAGTATCTATTCATATACTTTAACAACCTACTGAAACACAAAGAACCAATAACACTTCCACTAAGGCTCGAACTCAAAATCTCATATACTTTAACAACCTACTGAAACACAAAGAACCAATAATACTTCCACTAAGGCTCGAACTCAAAATCTTCCAAATAGAAGTCCAACCCGGATACCATTAGATCACATAGTCTTCCTTTTAATTAGATCAACTTAAATTTTTCTAAATTTATTTGAATACGATGAAAGTATAATATAAATGTGTTGACTACATTAACTAAATGATTCACTAAAAAAAATTAGACTTAAAAAATATTTAATTTATTGAAGGGTTTAAATAAAGAAAAGAAGCTAAAATATACACACAATTACAGTATACAAAATTGTTGTTGGTAAGGGTTGAACCCATGTTGTTGATAAGGGTTGAACCCATGACATTTAACGTGAAATTCAAAGCTCAACCAACTGAGCAACTAAACTACTTAGTGACTTATATATATATATATTTATATATATATATTTATATATATATATATATATATATATATATATATATATATATATAAAATGGAAAGAGGTGAGGGGGGGGGGGGGGGGGGGGGAGAGGGGCAGTTGATCCCACTGCCCCCATTGTAGTTCCGCCACTCTGTGTGTGTGTGTGTGTGTATATATATATATATATATATATATATATATATATATATATATATATATATATATATAATTCTATTCTGGTGAAAACATATCTTAAAATAAAAATATGAGGTCTATTGTGGTGCGTTGGATGATGCGGATGGACGGTTGTGATTTGGGCGGGTAGTTTCCATTTGTTTATTGGGTTTTTATGTTAAGAGGGGTAGATGGTGTATTTTGCGTGCATTGAGTCCTAGTCAGAGTTAGGTTCAAACTCACGCGCACTGGTGGACTCTTTCTATTGTTCCCGTCTTTTGCTTGGCGTGAGTAGGGAGTGTGTGAGACGGTCTTTGCTTATCGCGTCGGCTTCCATCTTGTGTTCGATCGCACGTCGCTATGGTTGTCGGTGGGGACCGCGGCAGGTTGAAGAGGGGGGGGGGGGGGGGGGGGGGGCACCGGATGTCGGCCGAGGTAAGTTATGATTGTTTGTTGTTGTTTTTTCGTCGCTTTCTTGCCTTTTTTGCGCTCTGGTCTTGGGGGTTTTTGCTGGGTGGTGTCCGGTGGCCGTGTGGGTGTCATCGGGTGGTGTAGGGGGTGTCAATTTTGGGGTTCGATTTTTGTAGATAGGGTTCTGGGTAAGCTAGGGTTTTGGGTGGTGGCAGGTCTGGGTTCGTGGATGTCCGATTCGGTGCGGTGTTAGGGCCTTGGCACTCCACGGCGGGGGTGGTGGCCGGTCTGGGTTGTGGGTGTTTTTTTTTTGTTTGTATTTGTTTCCGGCGTTCGCCGGTCGTTGGTTGGGGGTTTTGGTTGGGGTGTGGCTGGGTCGTCTGGGTGTGGCAGTGTGGGGTTACCGGGCGGTGGTTCTGGTTTTTGCGTCTTTTTTTTTTTTTTTTTTTTTTTTTTTTTTTTTTTTTTGTTGTTGTTAAATACCTGTTTTTGTGATTTTTGGCAGTGTAAATAATTTTATACATTCGTGGGTTTGTGAAGGAATTGTGGTCCGTGAATTGTGTGTTTTGTATTTGTTAGCTATTAATTGTGTGTTTGGTCTTTGTTAGCTATTAATTGTGTGTTTTGAGGGATTGATTAAAATTGCCGTATACATTGCATATTGTGGGTATTTTGCATCCCACATATCTTAAGTTGTGCTATGGTAGTGGTGGTAGTGTGCACTTTTAGTGTGGTTAAAGTGTGTTGCTCTGTTCTTTTTTTTTTTTGTTTTTTTTTTAATCGTATATAATAGTAATAATAGTTGTAGTTCATTTCTAGGTTTCGTATTAAGTAGTATACATTGCTTAATACGGGTTATATGCATCCCATGTATGTTAAGTTGTGCTATGGTAGTGTTGGTAGTGTGGACTTATAAACATTCATGAGTTTGTAAATAAATTGTGGTTCGTGAATTTTGTGTGTTGTGTTTGTTAGCTTTTAATTGTGTGTTTTGAGGGATTGATTAAAATTGCCGTATACACTGCATATTGTGGGTATTTTTCATCCCAGGTATCTTAAGTTGTGCTATGGTAGTGGTGGTAGTGTGCACTTTTAGTGTGGTTAAAGTGTGTTTTCTGTTTTTTTTTTTTGTTGTTTTTAATCGTATATAATAGTAATAATAGTTGTAGTTCATTTCTAGGTTTTGTATTAAGTAGTATACATTGCATAATACTAGTTATATGCATCCCATGTATGTGTAAGTTGTGCTATGGTAGTGTGGACTTATAAACATTTATGAATTTGTAAAGAAATTGTGGTTCGTGAATTTTGTGTTTTGTGTTTGCTAGCTTTAAGTTGTGTGTTTTGACGGATTGAGTAAAATGACATTATACACTCCATATTGTGGGTAATTTGCATCCCATGTGCTTTAGTGTGCGTGTTCTCTTAAAGTGTGTTGGAACTGTGGGCCTTCTTTTTTGCAGGTAAGAAGGTTAAGGGTGTGCGGGCTGTTCCACGAGTAGTTGAGGGGGGGGGGGGGGTTGAGTGATGATGACTTTGTTTCCCCACCGTTGGCTTTCTTGGATAGGTTGGAGCAAGACCCGGTGTGGAATGCGGTTGAAGAGTCTTCGGATGGTGGTGAGGGGTCTGGAGAAGAGGATGCTGACTTTCCTACTGTTAAGTTTCGAGGGCAGTCCGGTGTGCTTGTTGATGCCCTTCAAGATTTGTCGGTGCGACAGAAAGATGATATTAGGGGGCTAGGATTTGGGCATTTGTTAGAGTTCAAGGTGACAGAGTGTCCTCCTAGCCTTGTTCATTGGCTTCTATCTAATTTTGATGGGCAATCTAGGACGTTTGACTTGGGCGGTGGTAGAGTCCTCCCTGTGTACGAGCGTGATGTTGAATTAGTTTTGGGGTTTCCGCGGGGCGAGTCTAAGATGGTGAAGCGTGAGAGGTTGCAGATTTGCAACCTGTTGAAACATTGGAGGGGTTTGTTTGGGACGGTGAGGTATACGGTGTCTTTGTCCATGGTTGCAGACAAAGTTATTTCGGAGGTTGATGGCGGCGATTGGTTTAAGAGGCACTTTTGTATGTTGGTGCTGTCTACGCTGGTGTGCTGTATGAGCAATGACTATGCAAATCAGATGTATTTTCATTGTTTTGATGATGTCTCTCGGATCCACGAGATAAATTGGTGCAAGCTTCTGCTCGATTCTTTGGTGGAGACGCAGGATGCTTGGATTTCGGGTCGTCATAAATTCTTCGTGGGCCCTGCGGAGTTTATTGCGGTATGATAGTATTTGGTATTTGTTGGCTTTTTACGGTTTCTTTGTGTCATTCCCTTATTGTGTTGGTTGTTTTTTCAGTTATTCTATGTGGACCGTGTGTTGGCGTTTGAGCGGTCTGTTCCACGGCTTGTGCCTTCGTTGCGTGGGTGGACATCTGAGCTGTTGTTTGCTAGGGAGGCCGCGAAGATGAGTGCTGGTGGATTTGGCCTTGGAGAGATTGAGCCTGCTGGTGTGTTCTTGCATGTTGATGCTGATGGTCCTGAGTATGGGCCCAAGGTATGTGTGCACACTGTTCTGTTTTACTTGCACACTAAATTTTTTTGGTTGGCAGTGTGGTACTTTGCTTATTTATGGGGTACCTATTTTGATCGTGCTAGACGTTTGAATGTGTGGTTGGTGAGGCTGCTGCTGCTGCTGCTTTGGCTAGTTCGGCTGATAGCTTGGCCCAGTTTTTCAAGATGGCGCGTGCTAGGGCGGCGGATGGGGAGGTTTGTCGTCGTTTGTATGGTCCTATGCAGCGCCGGCTGCGGGATTTGGATGCTGATTTCCAGGAGATTTCTGAGGGGTTTGGCGTGAATGAAATTCCTTCCTTTAGCCTTGGTTTAACGCAGGATGGTGCGGCGGTGGGTGATGGTGGTCGTGGTGCATCTGGGGGGCACAGGCGTGAGTCTTCCCCGTCTCTTAGGGATGGGGTAAGCTTGTTGGTGTTGTGTGCTGGGTTGGGGGCTGCGATCAAGTAGGCTGGGTATGCTGGGCGTGGTGTTACAGGCGATGTTGGTGCGGGGGTAGGTGTGGGTGGTCACGCTATGCCGGAGTCTCGAGAGGCTACTGCTGTTGTTGAGGTTGGTTCTTTAACTTTGTTGTTTTTTTGGCAGTGATTAATTTTGGGTCTCGATACTGTGTGCTAGTATATATATGTTGTCGTGTTTGGTAGTGTGATGATGATGATGGTGCGTGTGGTGGTCATGCTGTGGGGTCTGGTTCGGATGGTGCTCGTACGCCAGACACTCCGGGGTTTTCTACGCCGGCGGAGGTTTGAGTTGCTTATGTTTTGTAGAAATTTTGTTTCTATATTTTAGTGGGTGTGCTAGCGTACTGTTATACATGTGTGTGCCTGTATTTCGGGTGTAGTGTGCTGGATGTGTGCTTCCAGTTAAGTCTTGCATGCCTGTTTTTTTATTTTGCAGGAGTGTGGTGGTGGTGTTGTTCCCCGCGGTCCTACGTTGTCGGGTGGGGCTGTGTGTGCGGCCCCGGTTAAAGCTGTTCGTCCTAGTAAGTATCTTGCGACTGATATTCCGGTGGTTGCCACTCGCCTTCAGTATGAGCCGTCCAGCGTCAGTGATCGTATTACATTTTCTGTTCCCGATGCCCCCGAAGATGCTTTGATCGTTAATTGGTTGCTTGGGGGCTCGGCCGCTGACATGTCAGTATAGTGGTTTCGTTTCTTTGTGGTGTTCCCATTTTTTTTTTTTGTTTGTTTTAGTTGGTGACAGTTTGGTGTGGTGTTTGTTTTAGGGGCCGTACTATATTTTCAGCTGGGGTTAGGTCTGCGACGTGGGAGAATTTTCTGTCACTGACTCCAGGTTCACAGGTTGATGTTGCGGTTATAGATGCCTGGGCTGCTGTGCTCAATTTTTTGGAGCATTCTAAGCCTCGGTCGGCCCCGTCTCGCCATTTTGCTTCGACGTTCACAACGGTTAGTTTTAGTTGCTTCAATTTTTTTTTTTGTTGAGTTATTTTGTTTAGTCTTTAATTGATTTGTTTGTGCATTGTTGGTGGGGTGTGTTAGCTCACGACTGTGGTTGATACTTCCCGTGGATGGGAGCAAAGGGTCGTGTGGTTCCGTGAGAGGTTAATGATGGACCTCCGGGCATCTCCGTATGAGAATATTACGGCGATTGACATGGTATGGTTGTCATTTTTTGGTCAGTCTTACTTTGTGTTGGTGTGCATGGTTGTCTGTTTTGGGTGCACAATCAGTCCCATGTATATTTTATTGTTTTGTGTGTGCAGATTTTTTTCCCAATTCTACGCTGTGGTCACTATTTTCTGTTGTGCTTTGATTTTGTCCGGGGTCGGTATGAGATCATTGATAATGACTCTTATCCCACTGCGAAGGTTGACAAGTATGGTGGCTGTGTTGATGTGTTGGTTAGTGTTCTGTCCATTGATTCCAATTCCTTTTTTTTTTTTTGTAAAGATTTTTGTATCCTTTTGGTCTTTTCTGATTTTCTGATTTCTGCCATGTGTTTTCCAATTGTAGAAGGCAATTCTATTTGAGTTCTTTGAGGCTATTTCTCCTTCGAGGGCAACAGTTTTCTAACACCCCGTGTTACGGCCTTCAATCCTGGATTAATTATTTAATTACTCCCGCTAATAATAATTAAATATGATTTAATTATGTTAGGTTTCCCTTTAATTAATTAATAGGGTCCACCATGAACCGTGGACCCTTGCCTAAATTAGAGGCTTAAGCCTATTAGGAATAAAGAAAGTAAACCTTTTACTATTCAGATCCTAATTAGGAATCCTAGACCTAGTTATCTATCAGGAATAAAGGAAGTAGGCCTTTTACTATTCAGATTGTGATTAGGATCCGCTTAATTAATATGGTCCAATGTGGATCATGGACCCTTATCCCTAAAGCAAGTCCCTACGTCCTATAAGGAATAGAATTAGTAAACCCATACCATTCAGACCCTAATTAGGAGTCTTAAATATATAAATAGGGAACTTAGGAGGCACCAGAATTCCCACCACAATAATCTCTCACCACCCAAAGAGTTCCAAGAAGTCCCCTAGGAGAAATCAATAAAGCAAGAAAGCTTAAAGAAAGATCCTTCATAGCCAAGGAATTAATTAAGGCTAAGAGGTAACCCATGTCTCAACAAAACCTATTTTCATAGCTATGATTTCCCCATAGGGTTTCCCCCATATAATTGTGAATGGCGATTTATGATGATTATTATTGGTATTGATATAATGATTCCATGAGGAATCTTGATAATCTTGATATTGGGAGTTTCTTGATAAATATGATGTTCTTGATAATTAATTGGGATTCTTGATGATTATGTATTGTTCTTGGCAATTATGGTGTTCTTGATGATTGATTGGTATCCTTGGTGATTATGTGTTGTTCTTACCGAATCTTGCAATTAGAAGACGAATCGTATTCTTGTTGATATAAAAGTGATTAGAACCCTAGGTTGTATCGTGTGATATTACTCTTGGATTATCGGGTGGGAAATTGCATGTTTGGGAGTTGATTACGTTTAGAAAAGCATGATAGGATATGTGCCGTTCGTTTCTCGTATTTGATCCGTTAATTGTCTACGTGTTGCCGTTAATTACGTTGTAAAGTGTCTAAGCATGGTTTCGGGTTCCACAACGGTTCCCGGGGCGAAAAGTGATGAAAAGAGTCAGTGGGGGTAGGTGGAGGGTAGGGGACCCGCCACCTACCCGCGGCTTCTCGGGCAGCTCCGGCAGCGGGCAGCTGCCCGCCGGGCACCCGCTGCCCGGAATAGTGACAGCCGGCGGGTGGACCCCCACCCACCGGCTTCCCGCTGGAAATTATCCCACTTCGGGATCCCGGCTTCCCCGTTTGATGTTTCCCCGATCCCCGTGGTGTCCCAACGGACCCCGTTTGTCGTGCCTATGTCTAGTTTGATATTTCGGGTACCGTTCGTAGGTTTATGAGTCTAATATATTGCATGCTAGTTGAATTGGTATCCCGTTGACCTAGGTGGAGGAAGTATGATCCCCTTAGGACTATTCTTAGTATGTGATGGATCACGCTTAGGTTTCGTTATACGTTTTATCCCCTTCCCAATGTGTAATGTGGGTTGCATGTGCTTGCTATGTGTTATGTGTGTGTGTTACCCCAATTCGGTTGCGATCGGATTGGTTATCCTGAGCTGCGGTTCAGAAGCTGGCTGCGGTCAGATTGGTATTCCTGGCTGCGGTCAGATAACATTCTCTTGGGCTGCGGTCCACCGTTTGGTTGCGATCAAACGTTTCTATACGAGCTGCGGTTCGTCCTTTTTCCTGGCTGCGGTCAGATGACACTCTCTTGGGCTGCGGTCCACTGTTTGGTTGCGATCAAACATTATGATGAGCTGCGGTTCATCGGTCGGTTGCGATCGACCTCCCCGTGTTGCGATACGGGGCATGGTGCTGCGGGGCTGTGTCAGAGCTATATGCGCTGACCCTCATGTATGGGCATGCGATCGGTCCCGTGGCGCCAACAATGTGCGTTATGTGTTGTGATATAGACGAGTTGTGACTATGAGTGCCTCGGGATGTGACTATGGGTTTCATTTTGGGGATTGTCTATGATGGGTTATGATTACTGCTTATGCTTTGCCTTATTTGCCTTATCTATTATGAACTGCTTATGACCGTTATAACTGTTGCTTGTGTCTGGCCTTATCTGTCGAGTCATTCCCGGTTTTAAAGCTAGAGTTCGTAGGATATATCTTCATGCTCAAAATGGTTTTCGTATATCTATATATATATTACTATATGTATTGTATTTCAACGCGTTGGAGTGGGTTACCAGCATCTCTCGCTGAACAGATATATTTGGCTTTCAGGCACAGGAGATTAAGTCACTGGAGCGCGCTAGAACTTAGAGTGTAGAAGTAGATAGTTTCCTTTGGCCTGCGTGCCACGTTTATGTAATTACGTTTTGAGGATATTAGTTAGTTAGCCTGTGCACTTGGGTTCTCTAACCCAGGTGTGGCATAGCACCCCGTACGCTTGTAATTATATCTTGGGATTTAATAAGATTCTATCTTTATTATAAGTTTTAAAAAGTCTTGAAAATCTGGGGTGTTACAAGTTTGTGCTGGAGCTGTATCCAAGCGTTTGCAAATGGGATGGCGTGATTCGAAGAATAAGATCAATTGTGGCATTTTTTTGATGCGGCACATGGAGACTTATGTTGGCCAGCGGGTTCGTGATTGGGAGTGTGGCTTGGTTAAGGGTGACTATACAGTGCTGCACAAGTTACGGTTGCGGTATATGAATGAGCTGGTCACGTCGCAGTGTAATGTGATGAGGGAAGACAACCTTGCTCGTGCTTACCAGTCGATATTAGTTCAACCCCCGTCCACTTAGTGTTGTTCTTTTACTTTTATTATGTTGTGTACCTTTTTGGGGTGCTTGTAGTGCGCACACTTTGGATGCATACTGTGCTCACGATGGTTTTTGTTGCCACTTGTGCTGGGCGCACCCTTTTTGCTATTAGTTTTAGTTCGTGAATGGTTTAGTTGTATTATGCTTTCAACGTTTTTATAGTCCAATTGTTTTTTTTGGGTATGCTTATTTGGTTGCAACAGTAGTTGGGTGTGTGTAGTTCGTTGGTTTTTATCGCTGTCTTTGTATTTCTGCGGTGGTACGGGTTTGATCAAACAGGATCTAGCAATATGTAATATTGATTCCTCTTTTTTGGTTCTTTGCGTATGTAATATGAAATGAAGGTCAACAAAAATAGAGTAGGACTGAAGGTTCACGGCTCTAAGTTAACGTTTGTGCGCGGTGTACGTACAGGTGTGCGTAGTTGGGTTATGTGCGCGCTCTGTGGTTATTTGTGTGCTTGGTGTGGGGTTTTTTTTTTAAAGAAAACTTCTCGTGTATATATAGTGTGCTCTACTCGCGGATTCAAATCTTGTATTGTTTGTGCCGTTAGTTTGCAATATTTTTGTTTGTGTGCACGTTGTACTTTGTTTTGTGGGCGTTGGGGTTTTTTGGGTTTTGTTGTTTTTGTTTTTGTTTTTGGATTTTTTTTTTAAACATTTGCGCGCGTCTAATTCGGTGGGTGTCGCGGCTTACGGCTTGTTGTGCGCGTACGCGGTGTCCTTTGTGCTTGTATGTGTTTATATTTGTGCCCGTGTGTGTTTACCTGTGCGCGCCCATCTAAATGTAGGTAGTTCAGGTTTGTTGTACTAATATCAATTTTTGCTTCATATAAGTACGTAATTTCGGTTCGTAAATGTAAACATAATGACAATATTTCATGGGTTGTTGAATTGAACTGTTACAAACTTCGTCTTATGCTAGTTTATTCGGACAGGTGCGACTGTTGTGCCCGGGGAGATCGCATATGTTGCATGTTCTTTCTTTTTTCTTTTGGTTGTTCGTGGTGGCTTTCTCTCTGTTGCTTTTGAATCTCTTCCCACTCCCTTTGTTTTTTGCAACTTGGGGTGGTTTTATTTGTATGTCGGTTGGTCTGCTTGTTCCGACTAGTCTTTCAAACACAGTTTCGTTGTTGGCGTGCTCTTGTGTTTGTTGCCTCTCGTTTTCCAGGTCTTTTTTGAGTTGTTGCAATGTTGCCAACATTTTGTCCATCTTGTCTGGCCAACCATTCACTAATCCCATGCAGTTGTAGAATTCATTCCATAGTTGATTTGCAACTTTTGTTGTTTCAGTTGCCTTGGGAATTGTTGTTCTTTTTGCCCATGGGACGTCGTATAATGGCTGTGCACATGCGTCTCGTGTCCACCGTGGGACAATATACTTTTGTGGGATTGTTTCATACCCCCGTGCCTTCATCACTTGTATCACATGTTTGCATAGTATACCGACACGGTTGAAGTGCTTGCATGCACACTCTATTTGCTCCGTGCTTGGGATTTCGGTCACTTCAAATAATTTTCCACCTGTTTCTTCAACTTGATAAGTCCATATATCACCTACGTTATTTCTGTTGGTGATGTGGCATCTGAAACTTGCATCCCATACCTCTTGTTGGAATTCATAGAACATGTTTATGGTGTAAACTCTAGCAGCGTGCTTCTCAATACTCAAAGGGGTTTTAGTTTCAGGGTACGAACCTTCATTTTCTGTGTTGAGTTTTGATTGTTTGTGCCTCTGTTCTCCAATTGCACTATTGTATTGTGCCATGAATTCTACCAAGCTGCAGTGGTGGTTTGTAAATTTACCAAAGTAGTTGTTTTCTGATTCTGACCGTGATGGTCCTTAGCAGACCTCCCATTAGTATGTCGTTGAAGTATGCAGGTATCCACGATGGACGTGCCTCGTAAAGTTGGGTAACCCACCGGTGGTCTTCAAGATTGTAGTCTTTCATTAGTGTTGTCCATCTCCTCTCGAATTCATCTACTGTTAATGTGTCATCTCATACGGTGTTATTTAGTTTCTTTTTGAAGTCTGTGTTGTGCCACAATGCAACCCCTACTTTTTCCCCAACCTTTGCCATGATGTGCCACATGCAGAATCTGTGCCTTGTGGTTGGCATAATTTGTGGTATGACTATTTTTAGTGCTGGATCCTGGTCAGTTGTAGCACATCTGGGGGTGTATTCCATTGCAGTCTTGAATTTCATGACTAGCCACTCGTATGACTCTACATCTTCTTTTGCAATCAAACCTGCCCCAAATGTTATGCACCTTTTGTGGTTATCCACCCCTGTGAAAGGGACGAACACTAACTTGTACCTGCAATATAAGCACGGTTTTAATTATTATTAAGCACAGTGTTTGTAATCTGATGTATAGTATACAGTACGATGCTGCGCACGCTTATTTTCAGCGTCGCGCACGTGATTTTTTAAGCCATGTCCAGGCCCTTGCGCGCACGCCGTTTACACAGCGCGTGCACAGTTTCCGGTTTAAAATTTTAAACCTAATACGAGTTATACCTATTTGTACTGTAAGTGGCGTCAAATGACAGTACATCTCCATAATATGCATAGTTCTTCCAGCATTCTGCGTCCGCCCAAAATAACCTTGTTAATTTAGCGTCTTCGTCTATGTCGAAATCGAAATAGAAGTCCGGGTTGTCCTCTTTTCTTTTGTACATGTCTTCTATCACCATTTGGGCATCAGCCTCAGCTATGTAGGCCAATAGGTCTCGTCTGAAATTGCAGAAGTCAATGCATGTGGCTCCTACATCTGTGAAATTGCCCACCATCTCTTTGAACAGTCTGAAAGCCTTTGTGGGACCGATGTTTGCCTTTGCACAGTGCGTCAAGAAGGTTTTGTGGCCGATGTCAAGTTGCCTATTCATCTTTAAAAAAGGTTTGGCCGCATCTGAGCATAGACAGTGGGTATGTCGCAGCTGGATTGCGTGTACTTTATATCCGCCCTTGTCACACCTTGTCATTACCATACGTGCCTTACAGCCTATCCTGGTGGACACTCTCCTCCGTCTCTGTTTTTCTTTTGAGCTATTATTGGGTTCCTTCCGTTCGGCCTTATAACCCTCGCGCGAGCACAACAAGTATTTTATTGACACTTGCCCGAATCGATTTCTACGCTTTGTTCCATGTCTAACATCAAATCCGGCTTCCTTAGCATATTCCTCGTAGAATTCAATTCCGTTTTCAAGTGTTTCGAATTGCTGTCCTGCGAACGGTGTTTTGTCTTTTGGTGTGGGTGGTGTCCAGTATTTTGAACCATCTTTGTGTATTTCCATTTCACATTCAATTACGTTGTGCGCACATTGGTCTGCACCTATTCAAGATAACAATTAAATATTTCAGGGTCGTCAAATAATGAATGTTGTGCTGCAGTGCGTAATTGTGTGTGCTTTTTTTTTGTTGTTTTTTTCCTATTTTCCTGTGTTCTGGTGTGCCCGGCTCTACGTTTTAGTGTGCTCGCGTATATGAATGTGGGCAGTGGTTTTTATAAGCGTGTGTTCAGTGAATGTTTAATTGCTTCAATGACTTTCGTACAGCCATATGTTGGTGTTCATATTTCCTCATGAATGTCTCTACACCTATTTATCTGCCCAAGCCTAAATTTCCTTATGTTTTTTCTAAGCTTATGTTTAACTAATGATGGACTATACGTGCATGTGACTATATGGTTGTGTGCTCGGTTCTGCAGATTATTCCCCCCATCGCCCGGATCACAGATTCCCATTATTGGTGTTTGTACTTGGTGTTCCCCCCCGTGTGTAAACAAATTCGCACAGTAATACGCTATTTTCAATAAATTCGGTTATGCAAATTCTTTTCAATCACTACGCACGGTGTGTTCTACGGTGCTCATAAATGGTTAACGATGCTTACCTGGGAATGGTGGTTGCGTGTTCTCCATGGTCGCCGGTGGGAGATGATGTTCGCCGACGTTTTTGCCTCACAATACGGTGATCTGGGCGTTGGGGTGGTGGTTGGTGCCGATGTGCTAGTGCCGTATGAGTTGTAGGATAGTGAGTGAATTGTAGTCCAATTATGATATAACTGTTCTAGTTGTATGCTAAGTAGGATTGTGTTTGTGTTGTCTAAATTGCCCTTTTCACATGCTTTATTATCCTAGCGTTAATTTTTACATGTTACATCCCAACCATCAATCTACTCTAATCTAATGGCTTATATTTGTCCACAGGTTTGTATGTTAATGGTGTTTGCATGTGAATGTGACCCTATATATATATATATATATATATATATATATATATATATATATATATATATATATTTATATATAAACAAAATCCTCCTATTTCATTTTCCCGCCCAAATTTTTGTAGTAAAACCTATTTGGTAAGCAAATGTAAAATGAAAATTAATTAAAATTTATTAATTGATAATATTACCTAATTACACATTTCCTTTTTGAAAAATTATACAAGTTTATAATCTCATATTTTCTACCTATAAATACAATGGATTGGTGAATTTGGAAATCATAATGTTTCCTTTTGCACTGTTTCCCTCTTCTTCCCTTCTCTCTATGGAATCATATATTGGTGTTGCACTCATGAAAATGTAAGTATTTTTTTTTACAGTTTTCAAGATTATTATTATTATTATTATTATTATTATTATTATTATTATTATTATTATTATTATTATTATTATTATTATTATTATTATTATTATTATTATTATTATTATTATTATTATTACTATTATTACTATTATTACTATTATTACTATTATTACTATTATTACTATTATTACTATTATTACTATTATTACTATTATTACTATTATTACTATTATTACTATTATTACTATTATTACTATTATTACTATTATTACTATTATTACTATTATTACTATTATTACTATTATTACTATTATTACTATTATTACTATTATTACTATTATTACTATTATTACTATTATTACTATTATTACTATTATTACTATT